GTAATGTAGTTCTAGACTCAAGAAAATGACACCAAAACAAAACAAAGCAAAAATTTTAATTTCACTTGCATATTTTAACAGAAACACAGTATGTTAACACAAAAAAAACCAGAAGACTTCTGTTCTAACATTTCATAATCTATTAGTGTCTAAATCTGCATTTTTCCATTGAGGCAATCTAAATTAATTACAAACCAACTCTGAATACCAGTACAGTATTTCCAAATATGTACAAACCACCGTAAAATAACTATTAATGTAATTATCATAGAAAAAAAAAAATCACAACACTAGTAAAAATGTAAACATTTTAAGCTAATCTCTTTAAAATTGCAAAAGGTACCATCTGCCATCCCAAGACCAAGTGAACAGCTGAAGAGATCAGGTACAATACAGAACGTCACTAACCCAAGTCTTTGTTCAGTCAGTACTGCAAAAGTTGTGCACGTTCTGTGAAATTTATATTCAAGTTCAGACTAGCAATTGCTTTCAGGTTGTGCTTCCTAAAAGAATAGTTCAGGCTGACTGTTGTCTCTGCACAACTTCAGGATGGCAATCCCACTACTTAATTCTGCTTTTAAGCAGCAACTGAATCATTCCAGCAGCAAACAAGCAGGTACACTATTCAGAGTGGACCCGACGTACTCCTCAGAAAAGTACCTAGTCACACACATAGTTCAGCAGCAGATGTCACCAACATCTTCACCATGCTGCACTGGGTAGTTTGAGCTATTCATTCTGAGTGCAGTGTCTCTGGACAAATACTGTTTCTCCATGTACTCAGCTGCCAGGCAGCTGCATACCATCTTGCCTGCACACGTGTGTGAACATGGAGCAATGGGACAAGGGCTGGGAGAAGCCACAGGCCTCCTGCTGGCTTCCAAGCCTTGTCCCAGCAAGAGGCTGGCTAAAGTCACCCATGCCTTTGTAAAATAATTCCTAGTTTGGCATTGTTTATAGTGGAATGCAACTAGTGCTGGTTTAATGGGTATATTCTCCTGTAGTGCCCAAAGCAGCAGTCACATGGTTTCCACCATGTCCCGTAAGCAACAGGCTGCCTCTAGATTGCCCCTCACCTCCACTTTGAAGGATGAGAGCTAACAGCTCCCCAGCCCCACACACTGTTAGTAGATGGGCTTCAACAAGATGAGCCACATCCTTAAAACTGGAGCCTGGGCAGTGAATCAGTGCAAGACCTGAAACATCACTGTAGCACACACATAGCTGCCTGCCTCCCATTAGAGTGCTTGAGTACACGCAGTTTATTTGGCTTAATCCCTGCTTTGGATATTCATCCTCATTATAGTCAGGGAAACTTGAGGGGGGAAAAAAAAAAAGAAAGAAGAGTTCTAATTTTTGAACAATAAGGGACCAATATGAGTAATAAAGCATTACAATTTGTCACTATGTGGAAAAGAGAAAAAAAAAAAAAGTCAATTTTCTTCACAGATGTACCTTCTAATTATAATCCTAAAATTGTGCTTTGTTTTTATTACTAATATTTATATTCTCTTGCGTAGACAGAAGCTGAGTACAAATGTATTTCCTACGACTTAACTTTATAGCTAAGATCAACATTTGCTGGTAGCCTGCAGTTTTTGTCAGTCAAACCAGTTTGCTAACAGAAGATGCGAAGGCGATAATAAATGTCAATACAGAAGGAGGAGAAAAAAAAAGACTAAGAAACAATAAATACTAAAACCTGAAGTCAAATGATGCTTCATAATAAGGATTATAAAATAACAGAAACTACATTCAGTAGCACAAGCCCTTCCAGCTGTAGGAGCCTAAAAGTGCAATTAGCTGAACAAGTCTCAACGCTACCTTGACGTTTTACAGGACCGTATGAACAACACTGTTGTTCTGAAGCAGGGTAACTAATGGCCTGGTTTGCTTAGTGGTGATCAGGGGAATGCAGTGAACTGGCTCATATGGGCCTAATTTAAGGATAAATAGAGAATGTCAATTCATGGAGAATAGGTCTTCACCAACATGTTGCTTTTTACTCTTTGATACAGCTAGCTTGGCCTACAAAGACACCTGCATTGAGGGAGCACCCATAAGAACCTTAAGTCACCTACTAAAAACCAGATGAACATCTTTAAAATGCCAGCACTAGATCAAATCAAGATAGAATGTTATGCTGAAGACAGAAACCTAATTTCAAAATGCAGTATTAATAGGGAATCAGCAAGAAGTATAGTTGTTTTCCATCTTACTCAACTTTTTAAAGGCTTTGGGGAAAAAAGGGACATGAACTCAACGGCCTGTCTGTTTGTTTTTCCCCACCCAACTACCCATGTCACTGATGTAATAAAAACTTATCACCTCTCTCCACAAATCTTGCCTTGCATTCAATTTTAAAAACCAATGATCTGGAAGAAACTGCAAAAATCACTTGCAATAAATTTGCAAAGGACATGCAGACTGCTGGAGTAGTAACGAATGAGGACAGGTCACTTAGACAGAGCAATCTGGATCACTTCATGAGCAGTATTTTAATGCTGGTAAAATGCAGTGTGTATTTCTAAGAAGGAAGGTAGGATAACAAGAGGATGATGTACTGCATTCTTGAAAAAGACTGAAGAGGACTAGTGCCATAAAAGTCAGCATCCAAGGCAATGCTTCCACAAAAAGAAGATAATACAATTTCTCAGGAACGAGGGGAGAGATACTAATCAGAGTAAGAGGATCACGTTATGCCCTGATGGATCACTATTGGCATGTGGCATCTCATTCAGATGTCATGCTCAAAAATATTTCAATACAGGAGGGGCACAGAGAAGAATGTGAAGATTAATTAGTCTTGGATAACGTTCATTGCCATAAGAAAGCGAAGGAACTCAGTACATCTCATCAGAGAAAAGGTTAAAAGGGACGTAATCATGATTTATAACTACACACAAGCAATTAGAAAAGCTGATACTACGGAGATCAATATAAGCAATCAAATGCATAAAAAGACCAAAATAACTTAAGGTGGAGCTAGAAATGCAAATAGAAAATCAAGTGAGAAATGTACGTGGCATAATTAACTATTGCAACAGGAGGTATGAGTGAATTCTCATCACTGGAAGACTTTAATATTAAATGCCTTTCTAAAATATGTATGTTCAGCTCAAAACAAAGCCACTGAATTTAACAGAGAAACTGCTCGTTGAAATTCAATGGTCTGTTGAATTTAAAAATAAATCCTCATTATGGTGCCTTCTTGCCTTATATATTTATGAGGTTTATTTTGAAATATAACAACTAAATGGAAGCAGGTTACCGAGAAAAAGGTATTCTTTCTTTTCAGAGCACAGCAACATTTAAGGCTAGATGTAAAGCTAAACAAACTGCAGCCGCATTTTGGAAAATAGGTTTTTCCCCATCTGTTTATTTTTCCTTTTTCTTGTTCAGAATTGCACAGTCCACTTAGACAACTGTCTGATTTAAATAATCATGTAGTTATTCTTCAGTTTTTCTGTTCCTATTTATAAGCCATTCACAAACCATTCACTTTAGTAAAAGGATGATTTATTGTAAGAATGACTATGGTTGTTTCAAAGGGAAAATGGAATGTGATTAAATGAAGAATGAACAAGGACATTCCAGAAATGAAGGGCTCTAATCCTGTGAAAGGATTTGTAAATGAAACCTGCCTCTCAAGGCCCATCCCAAATAACCAATGAACCACTGAGGGAATTCAGCAGATAACTTTTACAGCTGTGCAGACACAAGCTTAGCAGAAGACAAAAAAAAAATAGATAAAACAAACCAACCAGTCAGGCACACAGTATCTTCTGGAGAAATGGTATAGCTCCCAAAGCCATCTGCACTTTAGGGAGAAGAAAAAAAAAACAAGAACTGTAGGTATACAGTTGCTGATATGACTCTTTCAACACAGGTTTGAACACCAAGGCTCTAGAGGGATATCTGCAATCAGACCCTTTCTCTTGGATAAGTTCCAGCATCAACCAAGAAAAGGGTTGGATATTTAAGCCATGGATCCAGGAGAAGAGAATCTTTTCCCTAAGAAACTTAATAACCCATGCTTCTTACACAAATGGTGAATAGTCTGATGGAAGAATATCAAAATTCAATATTTTCACCTGAAGTACTTATTCTCTGCTATTTCAAGAAGAATGAGCCATGAAGAAAACCCTATTTGTTTACCAGTAACATTCCCATGTTTACAAACCTGCTACCTACCTACCAGGAACAGCAGAGAAGCTCCACAAAGCAGAAGCTATGCTACAGAGCCCTGTTTGTCAGAAAAAATAACCGTAAAAATTAAATCCTGAATAGGAGTCCATATGCAGTACTGGTTTTAAATGTTCCTGTTAGTCTGAAATAAGCATCAGTGACATTCTTGCTTGTACACAGATAATCCTGGTTCATTCAGACAGCACATGCACCACCAAGAACTTGGGAGATCCCACACTGAATCGATGGAACTGCTTCAGACATTCATATGGAGTCACAGAACCGTTCAGAAGAGCACAATAACTTTTCATAGTATGTTATCTTATAAGCAGGAGTTCCCAAACAGCAAGGGAGATAATATTTTAGATGAAGCCAAACACGGAACCCAAGAAAATCAGCTTTGCAAGATCTGTGTGGAATGTGTGCAAAATTCCCACTCAAACCAGGCTGAGAAGCTGCAGATGGGCTAAGCTGAGGGATCAGCAGAAGGCAATGGTAACATCCCTGCTGCAGGGACACCACGTTACCCTGAGCACTGCTGGTTTTCTGAAGAGTAAGTACTGAACCACTCTCTTTGGAAGTAGCACTGTTATTTCAGATAGAGATAACTCCCCCTGTTACTAGTGCAATACTTCAGATGTTAGCAATGAGTACAGCTGAGACTGCAGCTGGTAGTAATGCCCTGGCTAAAAGAAAAAACTTTAGCTTCAATACTTATAGGCTATATGCCAAAATCTATTTTTAATCCAGAGTTACAGCAGAAGGCTAAGAAACTGAAAATTCTAGGGACTCCCCTAAGCTAATCATGATGCCTATGGCTGCGGCCACGCTCTAGGGTCCAGCATTCCTATGCTGCATGTCTGCCTGGGGAGTGGTACTGGTTTGCTTTCAGGCTCAGCCCTGTTAGCCAGTGAACTGGGGTTCCCATGGCCACCTGAGCTGCTTTTTCTGCAGGGACCCATTCTGCGAGGAGCAGCAACGGGCGCCTGCATCGGGTGTGTTTTCACAGGGACCTCTGAGTCAAAGGCAGAACCACTGGCAGATGCACAGTCAGACTTCTCCCAGTTCTCCTTGCCCAGCTGCTCTGTGTTCACCTCTGCCTTTGCACTGTATGGTGACTTATCGGAGGGTGGAGGTGGAGCTCTTCTTTTCTTTCCCCTGCTGTTGTTAGGACTTGTAGTATCTTTTTTGGGGCCCAGATGTATGTTCTTCTGAACAACCATCTCACGAGATCCATCAAAGAGCGAAGCCAAGAGGGAAGATGCAGACTCTTTTTGCTGGCCAAGCAGGTACTCACCATCACTCTCTTCGATTTTCCTTTGTATGATATCAGCTAAGCCCTCATGTTTCACTGGAGAATCAATGTCTATAAGTTTAAGGGACAGCAATTAACTCAGATTAAAATGCTACCAATGCTTTTACTGCTACCTATTTCGTTATTACTATTCAGAATACAAAACTGTATTAACTATGTGTCTCATGAAGTCTGGACTGCTATTAAGAGTAATAATGGCTAAAATAGAAAAGATTACATATGCTTTCAAAGAGAGAACTGAGGTGACAGGAGGGAACTGTTTTCACGACATTGAGGCAACAGGTAGGCATTGATATATCCTTCCAAGTAAAAGTAAAAAAACCAATGTATTACTAGGGAACCTATACATATTAGATATTAAACATATTTTGTTGTATAGTGCTTTGAAAATTTCATTTCACAGAAGACCCATGAAAGTCCCATGAAACCAAATATTCTTGTGCTTCCAGCCTGCAGCAAATGGAACATCTTTACATATATCATTTTTCTTTGTGTGCTTTAAGACTGTCTTGTCCCATTTCTTATTCCTCATATTGAGTTTTCTACATACACTGCAGTAGCACTATCCTCAAACAGCAGCAAGACCTTTTCCATCGCAGGCCATACAATAATGATTTTGAACACATTTGTAAACACAGGGTTTTACCTAGGAACACTATAAATAAGCAGGAAAAATATCTGGTACATTAAGAGTGAAATAGAGTTTGTGTTCTGCTCCTCACTGATATACTTGAGTATCAATAGAATTATGCTGTGTTACCTTCCTAAAGTTTCTATAGTTGGATTTACTGCTTTTCTGCTCTGCATTCATAGCCTAGATAGGACTCTCTTGACTGTTCAGTGCTCTGATGCCCAGCAACTCAGTGACTCACATGGCATTTTGAGCATCTTCACAGTTCCAATCTCAAGCAGCAAGCAGTCAGGCATTTATAGTCGTACAGGGTTTCTCAGTCAATACTTCATCAGATCCATTAAAACAAAGTGACCTACTTTTCCTACTCTGTAAATATTATTTCTGTAATGAAACTATTAACATAATTCTGCTGCATACCATTTTGCTTTGTAAAAATACAAGTCTCAAATACATGCTGGCTAGATTTTCCAGCATCATTACCAAACAATTAGGTAAGTTATGTTAGGTAAGCCTCTAAAGAGCTTTAAGAACAGCAAACTGACTTCATGCAACTAGTTAAAGATATTACTGGTTTGCAGAGGGGACTATTTTACCTTTACATTTCCTGAGCTTTATACAACTCTTACAAGGAATATTTATTTCTAGTGACAGCTTTTTTGAATATGTTCAGGGCTCCCTAGTTAGAGTTGAGTTTGCAGATTATTTGGCTCAAGGTATAAAAATGTATTCATTATTTGTGCTATTACAAATTCAGATTTAATATGAATGTCTTGGTATGCAACTATGTTGCTCTTCCATTGTCTGAATTGTCCTTGAAAAACTCAGTGTTTCAACATCAACACCAGAAGCCATCTGAATAAAGACAATGTTGTTTCTGTTACCCTGCAACTTGAAAAGACAAATCCCACTTACTCATATCATGGTAGACGGAGGTTGCTTCTTTTGTCAAGAACAAAGGTGGTTTCCGTGGTGACATAATCTCAATTTTCATAAGTTCTTCACAACAATGTTTCCACTGGCCTGAGAGGGGAAAGGGAACAATGACTGGAACTTAAACACTTCAGCTTGAAAAAAAATTGAAGTTATTAGGTTGTGTTAGGAAACTGTCTCCAAAGCAGTGCTAAACAGTAAGCATTTACTAAAGAATGCTCGGGATGTATTTTGTATTTCATCTGGATTTTCAACTCTGTACTCATTCTCTTAACACAAAAGTTATAAGCTACTAACTTTAATTCAAGCATTCCAGCAGTACTGTTACACTATGAAGGTTAAATATCAAGATTTGTCTTCAAATCCTCAAACACAGCATAACTTCATGAGGGAAAAAAAAAAAAAAAAATTTAAGGTTAGGGAAGCTTCATGAAGTTCTCAGTGACAACCTCCAATACACTGCAAACTGGCTGTTACACAACTATGTTACAATGTTATAGTAAAGGAATGTTCTGTCTTTATAATAGAGGATAACTTGCCTTTCATCCCTTAGCAGACAAGGAAACCTCTTTTTCTATTAATAGATTTTGACCTTAAGGAAAACAAGTCACAGTAAAATTACTTTGTTCATACCGATCATTCCAAGTTTCCTGAGCACATTAATTTTAAGAGAATTTTAGAACCAGGGAAGAAAAAAGGCATTTAAATGCCAAGTGACCCATTTTTTCTGAACCTAAGGAAAACGTCTTAAAAAATCCATGGGTATTCTACCTATAATGAATAAGAAGTAATTTTTTCACCCCACTCTATGGCTAATTTAGAGAGGATGCCCTAGTTTTTGCTTGGTGTGTTTCTTTAATTGATAGAGCCTTTTCTCATTGTAAATCAGAGCTAGGAAGGACTAGAAATATGAACTACAATATCAAGTTTCCACCACCTCAGTTTGCTGATTTTATTGGCATGGCCTCTAACTAAAGATTGATATTTCGTTAATTGACCTTATTCTGTTTTCTGACCTGATAAAAATGACTATGAAGACCTAACTATATTTTGTCAATGACCACATACTAAGAGACAGTAGTTCTCTACTCATAATAAACCTGTGAGTCAAACTACTAAAGCAGAGGAAAGAAAAGATAAATAGAAGATAAAGTTATCTATGTAGTTCTTAAATATTTGTTGTTAAACGAGCAATACAGTATCGTCCTTCAATATTGTTTGTATCACTGTTTTACACCAATAAATTAGTTTCTTCTCTCAGGTAAAACCAGCATAGTCCCAGAGGTTAGCAAAAGGATCAGGGTATCAGTTTATCAACTCATGCACATCATCTGCCACAAAGCTTCAGGTCCAGCTTTCACGAGTTTCCAGTAAGCAGTGTGTATTTGCATCACTGGGCCGGAGTCTGGATAGGCGAGTGTATTCCCATGTGGGAAGGGGTACCAAAAACCTTAGAATTACCAACAGCAGCAGGTAAACCTATTGCAACAAACTGCAGTTTAATTCATCCATAATGCTGCTGAGCAAGAAAATCCCATATATATGTGCCCACTTTCAAGTGCTGGCTGAACCTGCGTCCTAGCCAAGGCCCCAGGTAAATCCAGCATCCTCATCACTTCCCACTAAGGCTTCCAGGCCCAAAGGTTTCATACTTGCAGAATCTCAAAAAACACACCACTGGTAGGATGCCCTGGAGGAAGAGATGGCAAGAATTTAGCGGTCCTTGAAAAATGTTACCTAGAACACTGCTAGAAGGGACTGAGTTCTTTTGAGATTTGATGGACATATTGTGCTCCTGGTTTCCTGCAAAAGCTCACACCGAACACGTGGACTTTGGTTTAGTCAAATATTTGCCTTCCAACAGCTTAGACCATCACTGAATATTATCCCAAAGAACATTTTTCTTCTCACCGTTGCAAACAAAGGCTTATGAGGCAATTCCAATTCAAATTGCTCAGAAATCCCTTTGATGTTACCCCACTTGGCAGGCACACTGCCAGCACTGCCTGCTTACTTACTCAGATCATAGAAGTGCTGCCAGAAAGCCTCCATCCACTTATGAAGTTCGTCCCTACTGTCAGTAGCAAAACATTGCATCACAGCCTCTCCAGACACGGGGTTGATAACAGAGAAGTTATTAGTTCTTCTCTTGGAGTCCTTACCCACGGCTCGAATTCTGGTTTCCTAGGAACAAGAAACTGTGGTAGTGAGTTATTGCTTCAGCTCCACGCTGGTAGCACCTTATGGCTAACGACAGTGTGAGGGAGGTATCATTTGGCTTTTTATCTAATCCAGATTAATTTCCAATTAAAAATAGGAACTAGCATAAAAAACTTCTCATAAAACTATTAAAATGGCATAAAACATGAAAAATAATGGAATGGAGCACAACTGCTGCAGTTTAGCTCTGAATTAAAGAATGTACTTTCTACGTTTCCCCTCCCTCTGCCTTCACGAGCTCGTCTCACACTGCTCCTTCTTCTCCACAGCAGTTTAGTGAATAACCTAAAATAACAGCAAGCAGCTCCTTTTCTCTGAACTCTTCAGCTGGAAAACCACATTGTTACAGCTACTATTTAGGTCTCCTACTGTACTTCCTTGGGCCATTGTTTATGTGATGTATTCCAAACTTGTATCTATGTTATGTTCTTTTTAGCAAATGAGGACATGCAGAGACAACACTGTAGTGACAGGAAATTTAAACCTAGTTCACATTTAAAGGAGCATTGGTACTACTTACCCATACAGTTCTGTTAGAACAAATTTCCAGCATGAAAAAACATTTCGCTCTAATAAAAAAATAACAATCCTAAAATGTATTTTGAAATGACAAATAGTTTTGCCTCATTAGGGAGGGCCACAGAGAAAGAATTAAAAATATATATGAGAAGAATATCACAAGTCTGTCTAATGTTAGATAGGTTCTCAGATTACACAGCAGCACTGTTTCAGACAAGGCTTCTCCTCCTGTTCAAGAATGTAGTTCAAATCTAGATCTAGATTAGAGCTAGAATAGATCCAGTAGTATTTTCATAGTATCTAGGTTTTTTGCTATGGCATTACTACAATAAAAAATGCATTTACACCTAACTGAGAGAATTTATTTTTTTTCATGTGTAAGAGACTGGTAGATTTTAGTAAAAGTCTGATAAAACACCAATTAAGAAACTTCCAGAACACAACTGGTCAACATCACTGCTCATCACAACATGATGAACAAATGAAATTACCATTACATCATTTACAAAAGATATTTCCAGGGTTTCACACGTACAAGCCTTCCTGACTGAACAAGCAATGGCCTATTACAACACTGTTCTTAAAAGAATTTTTGGCATACCCCAGGGAGCAGCATAATCACAAATCCTGATGGGATGATGGGTTTTGACACCAGGAGTCAGGCAGCACCCTACAGCTGGCTGGCCCCAGAGCCTGGCAGGACCCAAGGCTGCCTGAGGCACGCTGAGACCTACCACACGAGGATGAACCCTGGCACAGGGTGTGCCACAGGTTCTGAAGGGAGATAACCACAGCCAGGGTTGAGTTTGAATGTCTCCTGTGAATCTGACCACAAAGGTGGCCTCGGGGCACTCCTCCAAATGCAGTGGAGACAGACCAACCATCTTCCTTTTAACAGAATTCAACCAAATGTCAAACATCTGCTAAGGATGTTAAACATACACCTACAGAAATTAAGTTTATATGTGGGATCCTATGGGGATAAGCCTAGTTCTGATACTCAGAAAAACAAAAATTACTCTACAGAACATTCCCCAGATTTGAAATGCATTACTGAAGTAACCATTTGAAATACCAACAGCTGCTTGTAGCATATCTGATGGATATGCTCATTTAAATTCTTCTGTCTAAAAATAGGAGATGAAGTAATTCATCCATAAGTGCTCTATATCCCATTAACTCAGGTAACCATAGATACCAGCAAAAAAATTAAATCAAATAGATTAACATTTGACAGGTAAGAACTTCAAGCATAGCATACACACAAGTTTATTTAATGATGTCTGCTGCAGGTTTTATCCCACAACTATGGTATTATTCAAAGGAGATAAATCCTCAAGTAACAATCTATATCTGATGCTTGAATATTTAAGGAGTGATACAAGATGCCATTACAGTAATGGGCTGATAAATTTACCAAGCTTGGGTGAATTACACTACACGCCCAGTTCTGCTTAACAACAAGAACAAAAATAATTTAAAGAAAAACCCACAACCACCAAAACGACAAAAGTGTCTTCAGGTACCATGTTATAATAATGCTCAACATTTTGCAGTCTTATAGACAACTGAACCAACTCTGGTGCAGCTACTGTAAAGACCAGAACAATCTGTGGATTGGAATAGGAAAACTGAGTTGAATATTGAACTCAAATGACTCTTTCAGGGAAACTAGTTTTACATCCTATATGCAAAAGATTTTTTTTTTTTTTGAAGATGTGGGAAGACTAAAAGGGAATTTTTTTTTTATTTTTTAATAGAGTATTAACATGAACCTTCCTCTACACTTTTCCCCTCGAATCAAAAAAAAAAAAAATCACTTTGCCTGATGATACCACCTGGAAAGCTCATCTTTTAATAAAAAGAAAACAAAAAGAAAAAAAAAAATAGGGGAGTAGGCAGACAGAGAGCACATGAACTTTTTTATTGCTGGGGTGCAGCACTTCCCAGCCAATCCCAATACACTGAGAAGCAATGGTTATACAGAGCATTTTAAGACATCAAAGCAGACTACAGTTCTTGAGAAAAATATTGAATAAACTAAGATCCCATTCTGTGTACCCATTTTAAGACTAAACAAACCAAATCACATGTAGCACACTTCCTTCATGTTTTTAGTAACAAAAAATAAACAAAGAAATAAAAACACAACACTGGAAACAAAATATAATCTGTTCATGTGTTGCTTTCTGCTGTAACGTTAATAATTTCCATGTGGTCTGTTTTAGGCAAGCAGGGGAAATACAGTTAAATTAAGAATTATGGCTTCCAAACACATTTATGCACAAGACCAAAAACACCTGATTAGCTAGAAATATCTCCTCCTTTTTTCTTTACTGTTTCGTGAACTTGTATTAACATAACATCCTGGTGGTCAAGCACACCTTGATGGTAAGCACATGTAAGCATAATATGGACAAGCAGTATTAGGTTTTCTATGTCATTTTAGCTATCCTCAGTGCAAGGCAGCAGCTAGACACCAGGAGAAGGAGGTGGCATTATGTGACCAGCCAGCGTTCTGTGGAGCACCAGGGAGCCATAAAGCAGTTTCCTAACGACTCAATTTGAGCATGTGCGTTACGAAGCCGATGGTGTGGGATGTGGGTATCACATCTGCTTCCCCTGACTGCACCCACAGTCTCTTTCAAGCAGCTGCAGAACCAAACTAAGCAATGCAACGAGAGGTATCAGACACTCGGAGGCACCCAACTGGTTTGTGCTTTTCCAAAATATTTTCACATGTATGAAAGTTTGTCTGAGCCAACAAGGGGCAGAAAGTCCTTACTACAGAGAACACAGATATTTTCAGGGCTCCGCTAGTTTCACCACTGCTGCAGTCCCTTGACACACACACAGAATATTGCTCACTATTGCTGGGTCCCTAAATGTTCACATGGTCAAGAACTCGTACCAATATCCTTCTGCTCCAGTTCAAGGGTGAGCTCCCTGGTTCCCTAGAAATACTGCATGGTTCCCTTGAAGTTATGCTGCTGCAGCCATCGCTACATTTTCGAAGGAATTTCTCTGCCTGAGCTAGCCCAGAACAGATGCTCCAACAAGAACTGTCATTCAAGGTAACAGTCCACAGAAATGCCAGCTTGATTTTGTCCTTTCGCTCCTGCTACACTGCTCAGCAACCAATCTATGAGCCCTGGGCCTGTGGCTGGAAACACTTGTTGTTCCTCATCCCGTTCACCTCGATGATCAGCACGAACACAGCGACAGCTCTGGGCCTGCTGTGCTGCCTGGCACCAGAACAAAGATTGGGCTGCCAAAACACGCCGGGAAGGAAATCACAGGCCGACATTAATCCGAAGCAACGCCCCAGAATTCCTCAAGCTTCAGGCATACACAGCATAAAAAAAAAAGTTGTATAATCTATGACTAGGACATAGTATTCCAAATACTAAGCAAGTAACATGAACCACTGGCACATGCAACAATTTGCTAAGCTACTAGGTACAGGAGAGGCTTTTATTACTCATTTCAAGCTAACAAAAACTTGAAAAAATTTTAGGAACTGGCCCATAAGGAATATTTCTTGTTCAAATTGGATTCCGGCAAATTTTCTTTGCTGCAGAAAATATAATTTCTCTTTTCCTAGTTAGTTATGCAATATAATATGTTATAATCACATTTAGCTGGAACAATAAAAGCAGCACTTGCATAATAGGAACTGCAGAGCCATTCTTGCTCAACAGCGGTAGCGGTGAAGTCATCTGAAGTTGAAGTAATGATTTTGCTGGTCTTAATGGCTTCTTCAAGTCTCAATTCAAAGGGAATGGGAAATAAGGCTATCAGTGTGAATATTTTCCAGAGAGTTTCTCATAAATCCAGATGATTTCATTGCTTTTCAGAAAGTATCTTTCAATTACATGTAAAGGATCAGCTTCATATTACAAATGAAAACGCCACATACACAACCAGAAGAGATTTTAGTTAGAACGTCTAGAGTCGATGTTCAATCTCAACTCTCATTTTGAAATTGCTGTTTCTATAACAACATGTAGCAGATGAGCCCATATGATTAGTTTGCTTTCATTTAGTCCATAAGAGAAATTTCATAACAAAGGAATCAAAAAATATCTGCAGGCATTAAGTTATTTTCAAGAGAAACTGTTTAAGTAGTAAAGTATTCAAAGAGGTTTTAAATTGCAATTTTTTTTCTGGTTTTAATTTAAATTGAAGAAAGACTCACAGCCATATTCTCCAGCAGTCTGACAATTTTGTAAAATGGTATAAGATACATGATTCATGTACCTTCTAAGTGCTAGCTTTAAGGATACTCTGCAAACATACAGGCTGTCTCCCAGCAAAGGCTTATTAAGCTGGGTTTTAGGTCCTAAGCGTATTGGTAACTTGAAGGAGCAAAATATCTTAGTAGAACATTGTTCTTTTAAAAGGAAAAGCAGAACTATGATATAGACCATACCAAAGACCATCACAGAAAGATGAGGTAGCTTGATAGATTTTTTTTTACTGTTACATTTTAGAATATGGATTCATTCATTCTATAATCTAATCAAGTTTATCATTTCTTCACTCGTATTGAGAACAGTTGGAAAACAGAATTATGGGAAAGGCCAACTAGTGCATTACAAGTGACTGAACAGGGAACCAAGTAAACCTGCTTAAATCCATAATCACAGTCTAAACATTTATTTAACATAAATGCATGAACAACTGGAAGAAAAAAAAAGGGCTTTGTTCAAAGATATGGCACGAGCAGAAAGGTGTTTTCAATTAAGGAATCAATTTAAATCGTAGCACACTGAAAAAGAAGTCCTAACACAAACAGGTTACATTATTATACTTAGTTTAAATACTTGGTTTATATACAAATACGTGAGAGTGCAGTCATATTTTCCAGAAACTTTAAAGCCACCAAAAGCTGATATTGCTGATGTAAGAAGCAGTTCTTTATTCCTTTACATCTGTATGCATCCCAAGTTGTAGTCTAGCCCCTTTCTTATACCACACGAGCATTTGTGTAGCTATGTGGTGAAGTCGATAAGAGAATTTATTAAAGGAAACCACAGTTGAAACCAACCCTCTTCCTGCCCCCAAAATGAGCTAATTTTAACCCTCACCAGCTCCCTTGTCAAATTCATCTTCCAGTTGCCCTAATGCCTGCCCTGGTACAACGCATAGAAGGCCCTCTCAATAACAAGCCTAAATTGAACACTTAAGTATTTAATTTGAAGTAATATTTAATGTTTCTTTAGACAAAGAGTAAGTAACATTTTAACTTTATGTTTTAAACTCAGTCTCTCCAATCACAGTATGAAAAGCAGCAATAATGTCATCCTGGAGAACAGAACTTACAGAGTTGTTGTGCCCTGTACAAAACAAGTATTAAGAAAAGCAGCTTATCTTAAGGCACTAAAATATTTTGAACCATTTTCCATCTTTCCTTCTAATTAAGACTGTGGTAAAATAACACTCAGCAACAAAAAAGCTTTTGTTAAAAATCCACCTTGCTGAGGACGAAAGTCTACCAGAGAATTGCTGAGGGACTCTAAGGAATTTGCTGCCAAGGGCTCTCTTATGGAACTGTCACATAACAAGTTATCACTGTTCCTCAGGACAAACATCCTGCTTTTTACCTCTGTGTTAACCAGTCTAATGCAACAGAAGGAACTTAGGTCCACAGCTAAGAAATGGAATGACCTTGCTAAAAAAATTCAGCAACTGACAGTTGCACTGAAGCATACCCCACCCACAAGCTTCTTGTAAAGCATTTTGCATAGCAGCAGCTTAGAGCCCCAATGAATGTACCTGTGTCTTAAAACAAAAACAAGCTCCCCCCAAACAAACAGAAAACCCAAACAAACCAACAAAAACAAAAGAACAACGCCCTAATACAACCAGTTTTACCTTGTTGATGGAAACTGTCAATGCTGGCTCCAGTTTAGCCTCAGTTTCTTCTGGTGAGTAATAACAAAAGAGCTTTCCACCTCTTAGTACACAATACAGCCTCCTCCAGCTAGTTAGACTTCCTATCATTTGCTAAAGGGAAGAAATAGTCAGAAATTGCCAAATAAACTACAAATTCAGAGCATATCAGAAGGCGTACACTGATCAGCCCTATGTAATCAAAATTTAGCCAGATTGAATTCTTTCCTCAAAGACTTACTGCTGCAGAGCATTTCAGAGTCACTGATTTTTTTAAATGTTAGCAAGACTTCAAATGCCTTCTAGTGTTTTCTGGGTTTGCAAATGTATTCTCATGTGACACTAACAACACGGAATCTGTTGGTTCACACAATGAAACCTAGAACTAGTGTCTACGCTAAGAAAGAAACCACCTTTACTAGCTACAGCAATTGCACAATGAGGGAAATGAAGAGTATCTCACTGTGGAAATACATGGTACATTCAACAATTACCAAAGACATTTGTCTAGAATTTCCACCACTTTTATGGACAGCTTTCATAAATCCATTATTGTTTCACAACCAGTTTCAAACGTGCAATTTAGCACTCCTGACAACTGACCCAGCCCCGCTAGCCCTTCGCTATCACCTTCTTGTTTGCCTAGTTGTGTAGTGAAGCAAAATAGAGAAGTAAACTGAGTTCACATGAATCATTTTTGAAGGGGTGAGTTTGAATCTGGCTCGGTTCACCAGACAGATTCACCATGCTGTGATATGAACTCTTGTGCTAGCACAATGAGAGGTATGTACAAGCCACAGCATTATTAGGGCTGCTGCCGTCAAGTGCCAGCTTAAACCAGTTCTGAGGCAACAACTATACTTGATCTTTATGTAACAGTCTAAATAATTTTATTGATAAGCACACCAAAAAAAACATTTATTTCTTCACACTTATCCACTGAATGTACTGTTTATAAATGCAGCTGTGAGAATTTTCCTCTGGCTCTAGGCAGAACAGGTAAAAATAACAGTTCTCAAGAAACCACTTCAGGTAAAAGTAAATGTTGTAACAATTGACTCTTAGTGACAGCTATTAACTGAGGAGAATGTAAACACAAGTAAGGTCTTCTTACCTGCTGATTAAGAAATCCTGCCATCATATCCCTAGTCATGCAGGCAGGCTGAGCAACTAAACGGCAACACATGTTTCCATACAGGGGGAGCCAAAAAGAGGATTCCTCTGGGGGAAAAGACCAGGTAAAAGACAGACAAACACTTAGTTCTGAGCATTTTCCCTAAGTATATCAGTTAGCTTTCCATACATCCAATTTTACATTAAGATCATGAATGTAAATAAGCAATTTTGTATTTAAAGACAGAGACTTCATCCTGTAGGATTAGACCAAAACTGATTTTTAGTCCTCAGTACATTTTTTTAAAATTAAAAAAAATATCCAAAGGAATTTCAAATAAAAATGGAGATACTGTTCTGCAAGAACAAGTTGTTCTAACATAAAATATAGCTCTAATCTCATTTCACAGCTAGAAACATTTTGAAAGATAAATACACCAGCCATCTCATCTAAGTAGTATCCCTGAGCTCATCTCATAGTGGTGCAGAGCTAAATTTACAGATGAGCACTTTGTGTCAGATTGTTTTATTAAGGCTTAGAATTTGTATCTCCTTCTGTCTTCAGCACTAGACGAGCATCTAGGATTCCAAGGAGTTTCTAATGAATTGCAATATCCCCCCACCCTCAGCTCTGCTATGTTAATAGGCTCTCTCTTCTGTAATTAGAAGCAGGTAATACAAAGTTCCATTGACATGACTGTGTCTTTGGTCATGTTTTAGAAATGCTTGTAATGAACTAAAATATCCAGGTATGTCATTTCTCACCAGATTAAGTTATTTAAATTAATGACAGAAAAAGGAATTTGAAGAAGAAAGAGTATAAAGTACTATATAGAAAAAGGCTTATAAGTATCAAAGATAAGCAGAATTATTCATCCAACCCTTCAAGAAACAAATGCCCCATAAATCTTCAAATCTGTACTTATTCAGAATTAGTGACATGTAAAGAATGAAATTCTCTTTGAGGTCAGGTTTACCCAAGTAAAAGATAAAGTCCCAGAAGCTACTAAGTGAAATATAGTGAAAGTCTTATGTCTCATGTTAACAGTTAGAGGGTGGTTAGATAGACCCTACAGATGGCCCATCCTTTCAGAAAATAATGGACAAAGTACCAAAAACTGTACTTCTGCTACTTGAAACATTACCTTCAGCTGCAGTGTAATCATGGTCCCTGTGTTAGCATCTAAATTGTAATCGCCACTCAGAAGGCCAATCACATCCTGGGCTGCATCAAAAGAACTGTGGCCAGCCGATGAAGAGAGGTGATTCTGCCCCTCTGCTCTGCCCTGGTGAGACCTCACCTGGAGCACTGCGTCCAGCTCTGGAGCCCCCAGCACAAGAAGGATGTAGACACATTGGAGCGAGTCCAGAGGAGGTCCACCAAAACAATCAAGGGATGGGAGCACCTCTTGTATGAAGACAGGCTGAGGGAGTTGGGGCTGCTCAGCATGGAGAAGAAAGGGCTCCAGGGGGACTTTATAGTGGCCTTCCAATACCTGAAGTGGGCCTACACAAAGGCAGGGGAAGGTCTAATCAAAAGGGTTTGTAATGAAAGGACAAGGAGTAATGGTTTTAAATTAGGAAAGGATAGATTTAGACTGGATATTAGAAAAAAATTCTTTACTATAAGAGTAATAGATCATTGGAATGTGCTGCCCAGAGAGGTAGTGGAGGCCCCAACTCTGGAGTCTTTCAAGGTCAGGCCCTGGACAACCTGCCCTAGGTAGAAATGTCCCTGTTTGTGTAGGGAGGTCAGACCAGATGACCTCTAGAGGTTCTTTCCAGCCTAAAACATTCTACTATTCTATGATTCTAAACTGACTGCAGCCAACTTGGGTTGTTCCAGAGCTGAAGCACAGTGACCAAAGCAAATTGCAAGTGCACATGCTTACGTCCTGTGTTAAACCTGGGTGTGAAACAACCTAGCTGAAATAAACCTATTTTTCTACTTTCCTTTTGACTACAGAGGAAAAACTTGTTCTTCATTCTGATATCCTTCCTTGGTTGTGAGAAAGGGGAAATAATTTGTATATAGCTACAACTCACACAAGGCCAAGATGCAAATGACAGAAGAAACTCCCAAAAGAATAAAATTTTCATCTGGACTTCAAATTTTACTCAACTTACAGTTTATTCAGCTGTGTACAAATGCCTGGTTTAGAGCCGCTAAATATTTTATTAACGTTGTTCTATATTAAGTATCAAGAAAAATAATCTCTTTAAAATCTAGTTTACAAAAGAGAGAAATGCAAAATGTTACTGGTTTTTTATTTCCTTAAATTGGTACCATATGTACTTACCATTTCCTCGAATAGTAAGGTTGTGGGTCCTGAAATTGTCCTCAGCACTCTCTAGTCCCAAAGTGGTATATGCTAGCAAACTGTACCTTGCTCCACTAAATGTGAAAGAAAAAGCACATTTAAGACATTTCTGCTTCACATTGCTCAGGTGAAAGGGAGTCTAGACACACCCGAGAACATTTTCAGGTACAAGGGAACACCATGGTGCAAGGCCCATGAAGTATCTCTTTCCACAGCCACTTCTCTTGGAGCTGCCAGTCAAGGAGAGTTCTTGCACGGCTGCTGCCTAGAAGTTGGGTTCATGCTCACTGCTGAGCCAGCAGCAGCCAAAACCAGGTGTAGAGGCTGTGCTAGCCAACCTCTCTGCACCCTGAGCATGCTAAATGCATCTCTCTCCTCTAGTCAGACACCAAGTAACTTTTAGTAGTTTGACAGCTTTTATTCCGAGGTCTAAATCAACTAGATTGGGTAATAGATGCAAAAATTGCTAGAGTTAATAGAACAACCGATGACATGACCTTGATCTGAAAATACACATTAAAAATAAAAAGGCTTTATACTGCTCCTCCATGTTGCTCTGCAGGTGTGGACTACACTTTATGGAACAGCTGTTTATATGTGTATTTTTTAATAGTATCTAATAGCTCGAGTCTTTGCATGCAGAAATCTGGGCAGAAATACTAGTCAGTTTTGCAGCATAAAGGACTCTTTCACTTATTCTGCTTACAGGTTTCAGAATGTTATGTCTTTGTTTTGGATTTTGCCTAGGGGGAAAAAAAAAAAAAAACACACCACCATTTACAATTCAGCACAGTGCATGTGGAATGCAATTCTTGGAATAAACTAGTATAAATTTGGTACATGTTTAACCTTTTCCCCCAAATACTCTTCAGACCGAGTAACAGATTTACAGTCCAGTAATGCAGTAAAAATTCCACCTAGCTAACAGCAGTTTAAACAAAGTTCACAAGAAAAACTCCTCAAAAATCACTAACTATTCTCCCTAACAGGATCTAGCACAAAATCCTTAAAATATCTTCAGTACACCACAAGATATCTTAGTGGGGTGAAAGGTGAGAATACACTACTGAACCAACAACACTAAAAAACAGTTTTCTAGCATAGTATTTTTACAAACAGCACATTGGGAACATTTGGTTTTAAAAATCTTTGGCTCTGCAGAGGAACAAAGCAGATGCCTACCTAGCCCTAACCCTAACAAGAGAGGAGGAAAAGTAGCAAGTTTCTTAGCAGGGAAATCTGTTACACAACTATCTCAAGGGAATAAAGAGAAAATTAAATATGGTATAACATTGTGGGCAAAAAAATCTCTGCTGTGAAACATTTCAAGAGGGCAATCTGAACAAAAACTCATCAGCATTTGTATATATTCCCTGCTAGACTGCTCCCTAACAAAAGATTCTCCACTGATTATGTTTTGCCTTGCAGTTGAGCCATACACGACCATTCTATTTAAACTGTAGCAAAAAGTTCAGTTTCTTCTCACAGATAAAACTTCTGTGCTGATTTTAAAGTTCCTTTTTTTTTTTCTAAAGCATGACTAATTACCACAACAACCTTGCCAAAAAAAATAGCTACTTCACTTTCAAAATATGCTCCACAGTAACATTTTCGTTCTAAAATATAACAGTCATTCCTTTCAGCCAGCTGCAATATAATTTAGAAAAGTTTTATCTGCAAATATTTTTCAAATTTAACTGGCTAATCAAGATTGTTAACTATGTTTTGCCTCTACGTTTCACAGAATTCGCCAACTGCCTTAAATGGCAGTTTCTTTGTGTAACAGAGAATAATCTGCCTGTTGTATCTCATTCAGTACTTTGCATATCTGTAGTATTTTTCCATGTAATAACTTTATTAAAAAAACCCAACAGCTCATCTCCACAACATGCCTGTGGCAAAGGCTCGTCATTAAATCTGTTTACTGATCAAGAGACAGAGGCACCAAAGTTACCACACAGACACTGGCATGGGAAGGTGCAACTATATCACCCTTTCTATCAATGCATATTAATAAATACACCTCAGATTTCAGGATCTGTTCCTGAATATTAATCCAAACACTAGAAATCCCAGCTGTAGCTCATTCATCCAGTATATTGAATAGAGGATTTGTGACTCAAAAAGAAAATCAACATCTAATATGCTCACCTTTCAATCAGATCTTAAATAATAGAAGGTAAGAACAAATATAGCCTTCAGGTACTAGAAAGAACCCAACTGTAAAAGGCTTTATACTGGACTATGTACTTCTAACAAAATATCACTATGAATTTGCTGATTCAAACATGGGACATGGAAGCCATGCCTCCAGCTCAGTGGAGGACAATACACAAAAGGCAACAGCAACAAGTCCAGGTGTAGGCCAGTTCTGCACGTGAATAAACAGAAGCTTCAAGGAGTCTCTCCCATGATTTACCCAAAAAGCAACCTAGTCACTCTGGAATTCAATGGCATAACTCTACTGAACATTTTCCCTCTATAACAAAAGTAAAATTAAAAAAAAAAAAAATCAAAACCTATAATGGAAAAACAAGCAGCCAAAAAACCTGCATAGAAATTAAAAGTGAGATAATTAAGAGTAGAGAGAATGTCAGTATAGCTGAAGTTAACCAACCCAAGCAACTATTCAAAGCCCCTTGTCGCTAGGCTTTTGCAAGAGGTTACAAGGCTGATGGTTTCTTCACTAACCAGGGAGATTCCTAAGCCAAGAATTTTGACAGAGTTTTTGGAGAACAGAGAACTTCATCCATATTTGCTCTGAAGAGAAAAAGGCCTGTACAAATGAAGTCTACAGAGAAACAGAATACAGAAAGTTCCCTTTTTTGTCATAGTTTAATTTCACCAGCTGGACTGGTAAAAGTCTCTGGGAATACCTGAAAGATGTCTTGTAATCTTGCAATCTCTTTCATAAAGGTTACATACCAAGGTCTTATTTATATAAATCCTAAGGGGAACTTATTTAAGAAAAAAAAATTGACCACTTATTTTCTGCCTATAATAACCCGTTTCTTTCAAAGAATCTTTTTTAATCATCCATCAAAGCCATCATTAAACACATCATTGTTCATTTAACTCTGCTAAGAAAACAACAGTCACCATGACATACTTGGTTACAGCAGAAACAACCTCAAGATGGAGGAATGCAAAACACAATTACAATTAAGAAACCAAAAGCAAAACCTGAGGGAGAAGGCAGCTGTTTAGACTGTCTACTGATGCTTCTTCCTTAAGATGGGCAATCTACACTGAAGTAAGCATGGCCAGCAAATAAGCTGGTGGTTATATCTGAAGCAAACTGTATCTAATGATAGTGTGTCATGGCTTGTGGAAAGCACAGCCACCAGAGATGATGCAGATTGAAAGATACACTGTCATTAGGTAGAACACACTGGAAAGTCAGTGCTAAAATTTGTTTTCCCCTCTGTATAAGTTCTCTTGGATGTGTGTTTTCGATTGAAACGGTGGTATCAGTATACAGTAATATCAGCTTGACAAAGATAGAATACACTTGACTGTTTCCTTTTAAAACTCAGACAAATAGATGTGGAACTAGACTAAGACTACACTCAACACCTGGCAAGAATTTGGTATTGATTTTTTACTGTTCAGCTGCCAAAAAAAAGGTAATTCCTTGAAGAAACTGCTTTTAAAAAAAAAATAAAATCAACATTATGAGTATTTACAATTTAGGTACTTGGACTGCTTAAATCCCAATGAAATTAAAGTAGCTGGGAAATATTAGTAGGCAGTTAACTTCATTAAAGAAACGCATGAAAGACTTAAGATCATTTTTAAAAGGAAACTGGTAAATTACTGGGAACCCGACTTAATTCTATGAACACTTAAAACCAGTAAGTAATTTCAAAATGTTCTGTGCTAAAGTCAGTTAAGAAAACTCCTGTTAAGCACCTTGTAACTGTGAAGTGCCTTTGACAGTCCAGAGTTTTACGGAAAAGCCAGAAGTGAATGGCTCCCATGTGAACAGCATGTACCCTAAATGGCTCGGTTAGCTTCATCAGAGGAGAGGCTACAAGAGAGGTTTCTCCTCTCTACATGCCACACTTTTATTTCTCACAACTTGGAACTTTAGACATGGCTACCTGCCTGTTAAGTATGAGCAAATTTGGCTAGGTACAAAAGTAATACAAGGGAAGGAGTAAATGGGAAAGGGAAGAGAGGTAGATGGACAGAGGAACAGAGAGAGACTGATGGAACAAGCTTGAATTCCTCCAGCAATCAAACTAAAAATATTAGAGAGTTTGCAAATAAGAGTGGATTTACCAGCCAGCTAGCTTCTGCATAGCAAAAAGATACAGCCTACTCCTGTGTTTCAAGATCAGAAAGAGGCCCTAAGGCTGAGCGACTCGGTTGCAATTCACACCTACTTTCTCATTTCCTATTTAAAATGTAAATTTTTTTTCACTTGGGTAAGTACAAAAATAATCACTTTCTTGGCAATTTTCCAAAGATTACAATATATTTGGCTTATTTGTGGTTTAAAAATGATAAAAGCAGAATATGGATATACATGGCTTACTGGATGGGCAGGTCAACAGGCAAAAGGGATTCAGTGCTGTCTTCTTCCAGCACAGCTTTGAGTTTCTTGACTGTAGCTTTGCTCAGGGATGTTTTAAGCTTCTTTGCTAGTTTCTTAGGAGTGTTTGTTACACATAAAGACTCCTCTGTACAGCAACTATACACTTCAACCTTCACCTGGAAATCTGGTCTTGCGTCCTCACTGAATGGGGAGAGAGGAGAAAATTTCAGGGCATTTGTTAATAAACAGAGTATGCAGCCATGGAATGCTGCTGCTACTCTGTATGTTAAATAGCATATATTTCTAATCAAGGGAAGGAATGCCATAAGGTTCAGGCAAAGACATACATTAATATGGCATTAAAGACTAGAGTACACAGCAGTAACTTAGTGCTGAAGTCATGAGATGGATGTTATAATTAAACCATAAACAATTGTAAACAGGAACTGCAACGTTTATGTTAAAAACAGAAAAAAATCCCATGTTATGGAAATACACAGGCAAGACATTCAAACACACTTAAATCTGCCCTCTACTGTTACGCAAAACTCACATGATTGAAAACCCATCTGTGCCTATGTTCCTAAATCACACTGAACTGTTTTAAAGATATCTTACTTGAACCCAACCCCTTCATATTGCTGAAAAAAATCCTATCTCACAACCAACAAAAATTGTCATTCATAACTTGACTACCTACTGCTGTGTTCTTCTGTCCATGGCCTATGCTGTTTTCAGTTCTCTTATTCTCAAGCTTTGCCATCAAACCAGAAGCTTAATCTCACCTTTCAGGTACAAATCATGTCATTACACACATGCCCATAACAAAACCATCGCAAATGGTTTTAAAAAAAAAAAGTCTTTCTTTATCTTGGGGGATACAAGGCAAGCTATAGTGCCTTCTCTGCTTTTGCTGCAGTATTTCCCAGAGAACTGTAATGGTCGAGTCTCATATCTCTGAACAAGCAGATTTCTTTGCCCCCACTCTTAACTTCAACAGGCATTTAAGGGAGTTTAAAAGGTGATTTAAAGATCCACTCTCTCTCAAACACTCAGTTTACAGGATCTTGATTTAAAGTTTTCAGTAGTTCTAGCTTTCCAATCAATCTTCCTCAGGAGACTGAATCTAAATTGCTAATGTAAAAAATAAAGCAGGGGGAAACAAAAAAAGCTAAACATCTCTCAGGACTCTCTTAAAAATTATCAAGCTCCAAAAGGTTATGAAAATACTTTTCTACTCTTTTCCAGGTTGCTTTTAAAGAGAAGTGAAAATCTTCCATCTAGTATTCTTCAGTTGTAGGGACTGGTAGGTGTAACAGAACATGAGGTGTGGAAAAAGACCATAGCTGTACAGAATAATACTTAAAACACTGGGTGCAACATTCATGCCTATACTTTCATAATTCTTTCAGGTTTTAGTACTAATTTAATTCTGTCCTTCAGGTACAAGTTTATTTCTTTATATAAAGAAAAATGCTTCAATATGGTAAAAAAGAAAAGAAGTATAGTTCAAGTGGTACATCAACCAGCACCATTATGCACATGAAAAAAAAACCTTCCAGAATTGGGGAGCCACCATTCACTAAAATAAACAGAATCCCTACTGATTCCTTTGCCCACAACAAAACTTAGTGGACCACAGCCAATATCATTCATAATTATATCCACCTTCAAAAGAAAACAGCTGTATTTGTACTTCATTCAACAGAAATAAATAATACTCACAATATGGTTACATTTTCAAAGCAGATATCTGTTATTGCTTTATCCACAATAGCCACCTCCGTATCAAAAACCTCAGCTCCCATTCTGAGCAAACAAAAAACTGCATAGCACTGGGATTCTGCAGAGAGAGAGCCAAAGAAATGTTTTATTAGCCATACTACACATCACAAGACTAAATGATTCCAGTAAACAAAAGCAGAAGAAATGGTAATTCAGATCTCTAAGGAATTGCCCTCAAATTCTTCCCACCATAAATTTTCATCATAGGACGTTATGATAATTGAACAATCAAAGCTGCTGTCTAAGTAGAGCAACATTCACAGAGGGAAAGATGCCTACCTCTGTTCAGCTTTTTTTTTTTTCCCCAAATAATCAGGGGTAGTTTGTGCTAGAAACTTCAGAAATGTTACTAAAAATGCAATTTTCTTTCATGAAACTGATTTTAAGAAAAAAACCCTAACATTTGATCCAAAGCCTGCATCATTTTATGAATGTACTACATAGGATTAGACTATTTTGCCATGCTTAGCCCCTCTGACCCTATTGAAAATCAAAGTGAAATCAATGCCACGTGACAGCTGGAACAGATTTAGGGTTAATCTCCATGACACAGCGAAATGCATGTACTTGAAGACTATCCAATAATACACTCAACACCAACAGACAACTTTCATTTAAATTTCTCACTGAAAACACCCTCCAATATAGTCTCTCAAGTGTAGCCAAGACACAGAACAACATATTTAATTACAAGTTTCCCAGCTATCCATTTAATAACAATTTTCTGTTAGTTCTCTGGCATTTCTCCTCAGGAGGACTTTTTAGAGACTAGGGTTTAAACATACAGAACCACAGAGCTTTGAACTAACTCAACTTGCTACAGCAAACAACTTCAAGTTGAGAGCAGCTACACAAAGGAGTAAAATATGGACCTACTGAAAGGCCAAAGAAGGGATTGAAACAAGTATGGACCTCTCCATCCAGTTTAAATTTACAGGCATAAGCAATCTCTTATTACAGTAGTTGGTGACATCTTACATACTTTCTTTATTGCTGAAGTGATCAGAGCCTTTCCACATTAATGGTATTCGAATATCTAAAGGGAAAAAAAAAAAAGCAGAGAAATCAAGTTATAGCCAATACTTTAGATCTGCAAACAAAACAAATTACAAAATGTTTCTTGTTTCTTTTTCTCATGTTATGGGGGTAACAGGAACTTCTACCCAAAGAACAGCATAACTATTTGAATTTTATTATCCATGCCAAAAGAAAATTCATCAATTAGTTCAACTTGAAGTGTCATTTTCTTTTAGAAATTACACAATGGTAAAGAGTGTTTTAAATCTCATCCAAGAGCACTTTAGAGTACATTTCAGAGTGGCTGTGTAACATAGCTCTGAGAGCTATTCTCAGAAGTCAGGGGTTCTGAGCCCATTATTATGCACAGATGTAAACTGAAACTCCGCTTGCCTTCTGCTGGAAACCACTCATCCAACTGCAAAAAGGAAAACTTCCTGTTTTAATGGAAAGACTGGGATACTTATACTGCAAACACTTAAGTCTTGTTTTGCTAACCACAGCGAAAATATCACTTGTAATCCCATTCCCTGTTAGAATCATCTTAGTTGGCATAAGAAGAGTTTAGAAATCTTTTTTTTTAAACTCAGAAAGATCCTTCTACTTCAAAACCATAGCAGAGAGGCAATTACAGAACCATTAAGTCATGCCTGTCATTTTAATATTAGGAAAGTATTTTCTTCAACAAATTTTCCAATTTGTACACTCGATCCAACATAGTACTGAGTGACATCTTCCTCCAGTTTTGAGGACTCTGGTTTAGACATAATATTTCTTACTAGCCCCTTGTTAAATGACAAATGCAGTGAGGGCTTTATAAATCCAAAGCTGGTTTCTCTAATACAACACAGCAGTTAAAAAAAATATGCAATATATTAAGTGACACATGATGGCAGCAGTGAACAGCACTAGCTCAATTGTCTTTTGATAAAAACCTTCAATACTGTTATAAAGGAGCATTGCTGATTCCAGTGTTGATCTTCATACCAGGCTGGTGGAAAAATCCAGACACAGTATGCTAAGATGCAAAACAGTAATGGTATTTTGGTAACAGATTGTCATGTATTCCTACAGGGGTTTACCCACAAAACTTCCTGTTGATTTCAGTGAAAACTACATATAGTCACTCTGTTTCAGAAGTTATATTAAATGAAAAGTTTACATTTCAGTTAGTTTTCATTATATTATGGGATATGTTACACTTTCTATTTCAATGTTGAAACTTGCACATATTTATTTTTAAGTGTTCATGAAAACTAATGTTTTCAACGGTGGACTGCCAGTACACAGCTTCAGACTGCCACAGCTTCCTAAAAATCACCATGTCCTGAAACTGCCTTTCACTTCTGAACATGCATTTGCATTGTAAGCATTTCTAAAAATTTCTATTTTTTTAAAAGAAGGAAACAGAAGTAGTTTCAGCAAAACAGTTACAGAAGTCTCTTGAACTTTAAATACATATATTTATTTCTATCAGAGACAAAACACAGAACGTTTCTTTCCTAAAAGATAAAGGTCTTAAATTTACATAAATACATGAAAATAGAGTTACAATAAAAGCTTTTCTCATCTTTAAACACAGCGAACTCTGAACAACAATTTTGATGCCCTCATTAGGCCTTGTTAACAATTAGAGTACTAGATTAAAGATTGCTTCTGTATGCCACTTTCAATATCATGCTAGCTGAAAAATTTACACCTTACTTGGAATATCATCAGGATATAGATAGTCAATCACTTGAACAAGTTTAACACGACACTTGTAAATCAGTTTTCAACTCATTCTTGGATGGAAAGAGCTATGATTTATCAAAAACAAAGATCAATTTTCACACACCTTAATTTCAGCTACCATTAGTTGTAAATCCATGTAGATTCAAACTGGATATATCCAAGCACTACAGTTAATCAGATTTAAAGCAATGGTTCCTTTCTAAAATTACTTTAAATTATGATTATGCTTTTTGATCAACATTTAATGTATCGTCTTCTGCCAAAATCATTGATTGAAAAGATAACATAAATCACATCATTTACTCACACACGTGGGGGATAAATAAGTAAAAATAATATGACGTGTGAAAATCTGTGGATTAAGGAAGACACTCCCCACACAGTATCTGACATGCCTTCTGTAGGAGTACATTCCTCACTCCTCCTGCATAGCTGTTCCTGAACTTTTGGTGTTGGCCACATGATCACACTTTTTTGGTAATAGTCTGAGTTTCTGGCATGTACTAACCATTCAATATATTAATAAATTTATACGTGGATGGATTACTTTCAAAAAAAAATCCACTGTATATTTTCAATTCTTAAAGTACATGGCTTGTCATATTACATGGACTACCACTCACTCCTCATCTCCAGCCTCTCCCAGACATTTGAGTCATGACATCTCCTGATTCACACTGCCTGTATCCACAGATGCATTCTCCACAAGGAAGGCACATGCACACACACCTGTGCCTTCCAAACACGCAGGGCAACTCCAGCTGCAAATCCACACGAAGGTCTGCATACAAGAGAGAAGAAATGCAGCATGCCCCATTTGCTACACACAGATTGGGAAATAGAGGGAAAGAAGAATAATGGGACATTACAGCTGTGACTGTGCTGGACCTAAGGAAGCAGACAGGACCTGACCTGGCCTGTTAAACGGCCACGGGTAATGGGTCAGAGGACAATGCAAGGAGGAACCAGGGAGACGTATTAACATCATCTTGGGATCTCCCAATCATGTATCTTGCCCAGAGGATCCTGCCCTTGCCAAGTACAAACCAGCCTGTCCCCACAATTACCTCTCATGTACTCCAGTTCTCTGCTTTTCAGACACATACTGTCGAAAATAAGGAGTTAACAAGTGATCTATAGAAAGCATAAATCTCTCAGCAGAGGCCAAGAATATTTGGGCCTTCCTGCTGTAAACTGGGCCTGGCTCAGCTTCCCAACACATCTGAATAGGGGTGAGGCATGGCAGTACCCCAGCACTCACAGGCTCAAGTTCACAGTGGGGTAGTTGATGCCTCTTTCTCTTCTTTGCCTCAATCTATGCCACACTTCTGAGGATCACAGTCTCCTGTTCAAGAACCACTGTTAGTAACAGGACAGTACCATTAGCAGCTGGCACATAATAGGAAGTGGTCTGTTTTACCCTTCTTTTCTCTTTCCCATCCAAAGAAACTCGCTCAATGACCTAAAAAAATATTTTCATACTAAAAATAGAGTCCTTGCACAACTCTGATTTGTTAAAGATCAGAAAAGTGTGTTGTATGATCCTAAAGTCTTCACTGCAGATAACTCTACAAATCCAAGGCAAGGTGCAACCTCAGCACAGACAGGGAAACAGATGCTTTCATCCAACCACCATAAGGAGGAAAGACAGACACACATTCTGCAAACAGCTGTGCTGGCACAAAACATTACTGAACCATGTGCTCATTGCTCTTCCACTACAAGTTACCTTGCTTAAAGATATGTCAAAATACGCAGAATTAACTTTAACAGTTTAAGTAGTGAACCTTTCTACACTACTTTATTTTTAATGAAGCAGGTGAGGGAGCACAAACAGATCTGTTAGCAAAGCTAGCAGAACAGCCTCAATGAACAACTACAGGAAAGCTGAACGTAGTGACATCCACTGTTGGCTCAGGCAAACAAAATGCCAACTTCAGTGCTAAAGTTTGAGAACAGGCTAGGAAACAGTGTAACAGCCTACTGGAAATAATTGTTAAATAGTCTTCTCACTAGTATGCATTTAAGCCATACCACTATACCCCTCCTGTAGTAATGTAATCTGTGTTTACTAAACAACATTTGCATACTAGTTATAATTCTGCCCTTGATTTGTTAGACGCATCCTCTGTGATCACATCAAAGTTTGTCTTTGTGGGAAGAAAAAAACCTTTTCAGTACATTCACACTTATTTAAATTTGAAATGTATTCAGTGTTTAGTGACAAACAGAAAAAAAGTACTTCCCACTGTGAAAGTCCCTGAAAGTAAGATGGAAATACTAGGTAAGATCTTCAAAAGCACATAGGCCACTTAAAAGCACAAGTACCCTTGAACTACAAGAGGATTTATGCCCCTGAACCACATATACAGTTTGAAAACACTATCTTGTTTGTATAATTTGTATTACAAGTTACTGTCCAGCCAGTTAGGTCCTCTAATTGACTATGCAGCCCCTTACCTGATATAGCAACCTTTGCTCTGCATGCCACCCAGTCTTTTGTCCCATTTTCTGAAGACCTGCCAAAAAGAAGAAAAGAAAAATTAGGCTTGAGATCTATGCATTTAGACTTCTAAAGTGCATCCTCTAAACATTAAAAAGTGTCAGGGTTTTCACATTAGAGTTCATTTAAAGCACTTTTCTTTAAAGCTAAATTTGGTATCTTTGGTTTAAGCTACAAGTCATTAGATCCTGGAGGATAACCTGGAAGGAAGGTATACCATCAATTTTCTTAATTCCCTAGAATATTTTATTCCAAAGCTTATTTAACCTGGGTATTAAAAGACAAGCAGATTCATCTTCCTTGTCTTTTCCAGCTTGAACAGAATCAAATACACTATCAACTTTTCCCCTTCTGTACATCAATGAATAAGCAATGAATTAATTGATCAGTTCTACTATTGGTTAGAGAATTACCACCCCTTCTATTAATAGAGACCAATTACAAAATGATGCATTGTTAATATTGTGATTTTATGTGCAAGCAGAATTTGCTAAGCAGCTACAGTGAAGATCTCAAGGTCAACCTTCAACTGAGTCAAAACAGTCTGTAGATAATGAGTAACAAGACTGTTCTCCTATCTGCCACTGCTCCTAACTCGTAGCCAAATAAGGTGAAATGAAAAGTTCTAGCTGCTACCAACATCCTGTCTTCCAGAGGCAGTTATAGTATCTTCAGGATTCACAGATCACAGGCACACATGAACAAGAAACAGGGGCAAAATTCACTTGAAAATCCTAGAATTTTCTTTCTCAGTCATCATCATCTTATCTGGATTAAGCTTTAACCAAATTCCAGTCTTGAGTAAATAATGAAAAAAGAAGTGCAGATGCACCATCAGTTACCACAGAGACAATCTCAATGGTAGAGATATAACTCTAAAGCATGCACCTCTTCTAAGGACCTCCACTGACAATTCAAACGACCCCTGAATACAGAACTATAAGCAATGCATGGCAGATACAAATCAAATAAACATGGTGGCTGGCTATGGCTGTAAGAAAACAATACAGATGTTGAGATACCTCTCCAGGTATCTCAGCTTTGTTCTGGATATGTGCTGTTGCCATTCTGTGGTCACTGACATCAAAGGCAAGGAGTTGAGTACATCAGCATAGGCTTTATGTAAGCCCATTGTTAAAAACAGAAATTCAGGATGAATCATTATAAAGGTCTCCAACTTAGTAAGAAAAAGCAATACAACTGTTATAATGACAGAATACCACACATTGTAATTGCTAGTTTTCAAAATTATCTTTCACAATAATAGTTTCTATCATCAGAAAATGCAGTTCTTTCCTGCAATAAATTTCTCCTATAAGACCACATCTCTGAAAGCAAAAAGCAGCATGATTGTTCCTATAGATACACTTAAGAGGAGTTACACATGTATGTACTCAAAGTGTTTCTATGCTAAATTGCAGTATGTTTCATTAAAGTAATAACCTGAAATCAGTGGTGTCTCTGCACTGCAGTTCTCAACATGGCACCAAAAATATGTTCCATTACACAAAAAAAATACCATTATTCAAATAAACCATATATATTTTAGCTCATTCAAGAGTTATAGTGTGAGAATATTTTCACCTAAACTGATTTTTCTTTGAATTTTATTACTCTGCTGTAGTTAACAGAAGTGTCCAGCAGAGGGTACCAATTAACCACGATGATGCCCTCATTAAACACATCTTAATAACAAGAGAAAGAATAAAAAGTAGAAATACGTGTATTCTGACTCAGAAGTTTTGGTTTGTTCTTTCAGACGTGGGTAGGTGCCTTTTTGTAAGCTAAAGGTAATCAAAACAATACGTCTAGTGTTACCTGATATTCAGATGCTGAATTATAGTTTAGTGTCCACAATAAAAACTACCCAGAAAAACATGACTTGTATTTCATTTTCTATAATAAAGAGACTGGAACGGCCTTATAAAATAATGTTTTAAAGCAGCAGTAATGTAAGTTGGCATGGGAGAAGACAGAAGGAAGGGTTTAAATCCAGTTTCCTAGACAGGGTGCTAAGAAGTCACATAAGAAAAGCCTGCTTCATAACATTCCACTTGAATTTGAGCTGCTACTCACTGTTCTTCGGTTCTGCACAAGATCAGCTCCTCTTTTTGGTTCTGTAGCTCTGTTCTGTATGCAAGTATGCGAGCATTGCAAACCATCAGGTTTTTAACTGCCTGCAAGAGTTGGTCTTTTTGTGTGCTCACTGCAAGTAGTTTATAGATGCCTTCTCGCATGCGGATTTCAAAGTTAATCTTCTCTTGGATGTCACATTCCTAGATATGCAAAAAAACAAAGGACTAAACAAAAGCCCAGCTAACAACACCCTCAACTTTTAACGAGGTCTGCTTATTTCACCATTGAAATAGAAAAGCCTAGGTTTTCATTATGTGCAACCATTAGGATGGTTAATAAAGGTAAAAATAACAGTTCTCTCCTCAGGAACAAGAGTAAAACATAGGATGGAACAGATTCACTATAGCCATTAGACATGCAGATTCCAAACCAGGCAGTAACATTAACTCACCGTAGCATCTGATAGTTACTAAAAATTTTTGTGCCTTGCTGTGTCATTCATAGGACAATAACATATGGTCCCTTCGTATGGTCAGAGAGGCCCAACTGAACAAAGCTGATCAATCTGCATCCCACTTTTTACAGTGATCCCTACTAAAATACACTCAACTCAGGAAAATGACTTAAATATCTTACATCAGAAATTCAATCACTTTACTATTCTGGCCATCTTAAAAGGAGTTAAAAAAATGTGGGTTTTTTTCACTCCTGATTGATGTAAAATTCAGGTAACATCAGAAGCAAAAAAACAGGAGAATATTCCAATACTTGACTGTTTCAAGTTGTGAAGTACAAGCCAGACAGCTGTGTTAATAACTTCAACACCACCCAAGGATCACACCCTGACCAATGGCACAGCCATGCACACTTTTCATTCAAAAGTATGAAATAAGACAAACTTGCCTGTCAAGTCACTAGAATCCTGTGTCCCTGTTTTTATGAAGGCATGGGTTTTTTTAAGGTATTCTAGAAAATTCTGGCAAATCAACTTTCCCTAACTACTTTCAGAGGAAACAAACATTTATTAATGTGCACGATTCCTCACCTGTCACTTCAAAGAGGTCAATCCACACCAAGCCAGGAGATAATGAAGACAAAGAACCAGTTTCCTGTCTCCCAAAGGCGTGCTAGATGCCTGGTGACTCCAATACACAGTTCCTTGTTATGTGTCTATCCCTGGCCAAACCAAGTATTTCTGACACACCAAAACCAGAGTGTTGTCAGTAAAATAATGCACTGTTGTGTTGCATATACATTGCAAGTCACTGATGAGTGAAGCTTTTTTCAACATTGAACAAGAGCATCATCTTCACAGGAGTGGGTTTTAGTGGTTTTGGAGGCCTCATGCCATAATATGAAGTTCCAGCTGATCTGCTCACAGAGCATTTCTCCTTCCAAACCACGCTTCCTGTGTTATCCTAAAGGAAGAGCAGCTCCAGAGCATAAGATACACTCAGCACCAGCACAGCAACATGCTCAAGTTGCAATATTCTACTCATCTGAAACAGCACTGGTTCCCAGCGACCTCAGAACACTGTTCTAAAAACCAGGAGACTGTTGGATGTCTTCAGTGGCGTAAGCCTCTCATTCTATCTCCCACCTCTTCTGTTACAGATGGCAACTTCATTCTTGCTAAAATGGGACCTAGACCCATACAGAGGGTTCTTCATCCCCACATCAAGAGCCAGCAGGTCACTAAGCCCCCATACACATAGTTTCTCATTTTCCTCAGGTAATAAAGGAAGTGGGTTTCCCCCACTCAAAGGGGGGATGATAAAGACCCCAGGGTTGTGTAATCAGGTAAAACAAACAAAAAATATATGTCCTACTAAATTTGCTAGTGTGTAAGACAATTTAGTTACATAGCAAGAACACAGATGATGACTAGACACCACTGTGAAGGAAGACACTAATAAAGTACAGAGGACTCCCCAGAAACTAGGAACTCTCAACCTGAGACCCCATGAGAAATGTCTGGAACATGCACAGGTCACCATAACCCAGGCTTTCTGATACCAGTGGGTTGTTTGGTGGTAAATAGCTCCCAAAGCTCACATCAGAGGTTTTTCCATAGAAGTTCTGCTGGTATTCCCTACAGTCAATACACAAAGGCCTTGGACCCAGTATGGCACCACAAATCACCCACTCTCCCCCCCTCACGGACTCGCTTTCCAAAGTTGTAACCACAGCCAGCGTGGGATAAAGCAGTGCTCAACACCTCCACAGCCCCAGCACCTGCTCCTCTGTCTGTGCTTTTTCTCAGCACTTGTTCTCCTCTCCCAGGAGGCACGGAGAAGCAAATAGCTTTCATCAATCTTCTTTTATTCCGAGTCAAATTTTACGCAGCTATGAAAAGCTAAGCAAGGCGCACACCTGCCCCTAAGAAATAATTACTCATTCTTTGAGCCTAAACTAATACATCAGCTGGTACAAAGCTGAATTTCATCTCAGAAGAGTTAAATAATGCTTCCCCCTAACATTTCCCAGGGGGACAGGCCTCTGCACTGGCCCAGCACAGACTACAGCTCCTCTCCAGGTCTATCACTTGGCAGGTAACCATGGTGAGGAAAAAAGTTGTTCCAAGTTTGTGGCATCTACATGTGTCCACACTGGGACTTTCAGAACTACACAAAGGATTCAGTCCATGCTGCATCTCAACCAGGCTTATATAAAATACGCTGCACTAGCATTAAATGTTTGTTTGGCCATTGCTTAAATAATCACACTATATAAATCTCATCTGAAGGAATGACTTAGCAGCCTGATTCAGAATGGATGAAGTTCATCACATCTAAAAAAAAAAAAAAAAAAAAAAAAGAAAATTTCAGTTCCTTCTAAAAATACGAGCACACCATCTGGACTCAGAGGAATGACACAGCACTGTTTTGCCATATGCTGCCTACTAATGCACCACTTTCCTTGTGGTCTCCATTCTCCCCCCAGCAGTGGCAAAAGAATCCAGTCAGATTCCTAACAGCTGTTGAGGATTTCAGATCCATGCATACCTAGAACGCAAGAAATTCTAAAGGATTTCTAGTTTTACATAGGTGATGGAGTCACAAAACAAACAAATCAAAAAAAAAGCTAAGAAAATGGATACAGATACTGCTGATGGCAGGACAGGTTGCCGGTTGAAGTTTTAGTTTATTTGATATGTTAAATTCAGGCTTTCCAACCCTTATTCCAAGGTACAATTCTAATTTATTACCACCGTGGCTTTCACCTAAATCCCGTAGACCTGCTATACTGACTTAGACAAGTAGTGAG